TGCAGCGCGGCTGCAGCGACGGTTGGGGCGAGTTAGACCTCAGATGTCTGCTGCTGCTCCTGCTGAGCGAGGCGTACAAGTGGGGGACCGTGATGAGAGAACTCGAGCTGCTCCCGGTGGATCCTTGACACGGCATGGTCGTGGTTGAGGCTGCGAGACTTTTCGGGCGAGGCGACCTTGCTCCTGTCCATGGAGCTTGCGGACTTCACGCGCGCCGTATCAGAACGGAGCGAAGCAGACATGTAGGGCTACCATGCCATCGACCAATGGGAGTGCTGGGGCAAGAAGTTGATGCTCGCCAGGAAACTGCGGTGTCCATGATATAGGAAACAGCCACGGCCCCCATTACGAATCCGGGCTCCATACCCTTCCCGTCACCATCCCCCAGCGCGCCCTCGCCCTGATCCCGCTCCCCGCCCTCCCCCGGCGCGCGACCGCCCCCGCCAGCGCGTACTCAGCCAAGGGTGGGCGCGCCTGCGGTCGAGCCACCGAACAATTCGACGTGGCTCAGCTCCGCGCCGGCGGGCACGACCGAGTACATGATGTCGGCGGCGGTCACGCGACGAGGGAGAGCCAGTAGCGGGATCATGACAAGGCCGTACTGGTAAACGGCGACGGAAAGCGTACAAAGCAGGCCACCGCGGGCTCGGAGATAGGCGTGGAGGAGGGAGACCGACTCTTCTGAAGGCTCGTCAGCATGAGCACCGCCTCCACGGACTCGGCGGAGCAGGGAATCGATCCGGGTCTCAAGCACGTACGTCTTGATGTACGTGTCCATGAAGTAGCCAACGTGCCGCCCCATGGAGCGCGTGGCGAGGTAGATGGCGGAGAAGGTGAGGAGCACACCTGCATAAGGGCCCATCGCCGCGTAGTCCCGGAACGGCTCGGCAATCGCCGCCGCCCCGTGGTGGAACAAGGGGTACCCTCCACTGAGGAGGAGGAGGACGCGGACAGGGGTGTAGTCACAGAGTGCGCGAACCTGATAGCCGACACAGTAGACGAAGACGGCCATCCTGAGGAAGAAGAGGAGCTCAGGTCCCCCGTCACCGCTTGTCACCAGCTCAATCAGGGTGGTACCCAGCAGGCAGAGGAGGACTGCCCCAGCCCCGGCACGGTAGACCCGGCTAGTGAGAAGGGCTGCAAGACCGTCATAAGCGAGGCCCACGGCGATCGACCAGAGGAATAACGTGAACTCGATCGTAGTGTAGGCCCAGCCCATCAGAGAATCGAGGCCACTGGCCTCTGCTCCCGCCTGGGATCGCCCATTGCGACCGAGAGCTAAGAGAGACATCGCGAAAACCGCGAAAATAAGTTGCTGCCGATAACGGATAAGTTCGCCCAACGGCGGCGCGGCGTGCAATAATTGCAAATAGGAAACCGCGCCAGACCGGCGGCGCCGAAGTGGAACGGCGCCTCGCACGGCGGACACCAGCAATATTAATAATTGACTTGAGCCGCCATGGTAGGACGCCGCCCTGAATGATGACGGCAAAGCAACCCGAATAATACTAGCCATTGCTCCCTCAGTGTAAACGACTGTGAATACCGAACTCCCCCATTCACACCTAGTCACCGTGGCCCAACTGGGGTCAAGCCTGCACAAGAGAGAGGCACAGCGATCGCCGCCCCCCCGGCCGGGGACCCCTTGAGAGACCCACCGCACTGGTTTACATGGCTGAAGCGCAGCTGCCGCCGCCCAACTTCGCCGTGGTCTGGTCTGGTGTCTTCCGCTCCGCCTTCCCAGTCCAGAAGAACTTTGGCTTCCTGAAGCAGCGCGGCCTCCGCTCGGCGCGGCCGTGCCCCGCTGCCGCCTCTGTCCATAGCCTCTGCCCAGACCGCCTCCCCTGCCCAGACCGCCTCCGCCTCCGCCTCTACCCACTCTGCACCTGCCACTTCGTTAGCTCCGCTGCTCGCAGGTGGTGTACCTGTGCCCGGAGGAGTACCCAGAGACGCACCTCCGCTTCCTCGAGGCGGAGGGCATCGCGCTCCACCAGTTCGGGATGACGGGCAGCCGCTGTAGCGCCCACCGTAGCTTCCTTTACCTCGCCACGCCTCCTCCCCTTTGTGTGCTCTCACGTCTCGTTGGAGACACAGGCCTTTTGCTGTAGGGAACAAGGACCTGGACGAGATGCCAGAGGAGGTGACTAGCCCGAGATGTCTCGAGACAG